TTGGATGCTTTTAGACATCTCCGGAACCTTTTTTGGGGGTTCGGTAAGAAACCGATTTTTTTTAGAGTGTATCCCCTTGTGAAAATGAACAAGGTGAAAAAAGGGGTAGGACATCAGGTGATAATGAATATGACCTTCAATTTAATGATCATGGAACACCAAAAAGAACAAAATCAGTTCAACGAAAACCACGTACAATTACCAATTCTTCTTATATAGCGACAACTACAACCAATAAGAATTTTTCTCTTCAGAGAATGGACGACGTTAACAACCATTTACTTAATAAACAGAACGATACAATAGTTAGTTCTGAAGGAAATTATAATAATAAATTTAATATTACAAATGATACGGTTGCATATTCAGTTGATCAATTTTTTCCACCTATTAAAATCACATGTGAACCAAAAGTAAATGAACATAAAGATGGTGCAAAAATTATCAAGAGATTATTCAAACTCATTGTTGATGATTTTAAACAAATTAATCCGAAGCATAATGAAGTTATTGGATTCGAATCGTGGTATATTGACATTAACGGCAATTTACAATGTATTACTCGTGATGTCGAATTATTTATATATTTATGTGATGTTAAACATATTCCTAATATGTTATTGGATACAAAAATAATGGTGGTTTTACCAAAACATTTACCTAGCCAACGCTCTGTTATTATTAAAGATGTACCCATCACATTTAGTATTGATGATGTTAAAAATGAAATTATAAATAAATATAAGTCGATGTATTCAATTACAGAATTAATAGATACAAATAATGGTAGAACACGATATCTACGACTCGATTTAACTGACACAAATGAATATAACCAATTACTTAATTCTGGAATAATATGTATCGATGGTCAATGTTTACATGTCTTTGAATATCTTGCAGCACCTCGTGTTCTTTTTTGTTCAATGTATAATCTTCCAGACCATAACAAAAAGTATTATAATTTTACATTTAATCGTTGTAGGAGATGTGGAGAAGATAGAAAAAATGGCGATCATAAAAATTGTGCTATTAGTTGTCATAACTGTGAAGGGGAACATGTTTCCACTGATTTTAGGTGTCAAACTGTTCAAAATTATCGGCGTGATCTTATACATTATCTTAAGCAACATGCCGAAAGATTGCCTACAGATACACATTTTTTTATTCCTTCTCAATATCGTTCATATGGTAAGAGTGTTCTATATAATAGACGTTCATATGCTCAATTGATGACCATGCCACCTAATAGGAAATACCAGCTTAACAATGATGAGTGGCCTTCGTTACCACCTCCTACACGTCCCACCATCAATTATTCTAATTACACTAGATCATCTTCATCAGATGCTATTAAAAATTTACAACTACAACTGAATCATTTAGATAAATGCTGTTCTATTAATAAAAAAAATATGGAAATAAAATCACAACTTAATGAAAGTTTAGCACAACTAAAATCATTAAATATCTGCTTCTCTACCATCATTCAACATCAAAATGAAACTATTATTATGCTTAAAGATACTATTAATGAATGTTTAGAAATTAATAAATACACCATCCAAGCTGTATGTTTAATGATGACAAAATCAAGTGATCAGCAATATGAAGAAATCATAAAACAAATATCAAATATTCCAATTGCTGAACGTCAATCGTCAACTGATAAAATTTTCTCAACTTATACACCTCTTATTGATGAACTTACGTCGAAGATTGTGGCAATTACAAAACAAATGCAAGTATTAAATGACTAGTCAAGTTTTTTGCTATTCGCTGCCTTATATCAATGATGGCACTATTCATTCATTTGCCGGATCACAAAAGGAAAAGTTAGAATTGCAACAAATATTCCAGGAATAGAATTTGAGATCATGTATGTCCGATCTATTTAAAAGTGGAGAAAAACCAGACCTAATATTTCTGAGTAAAATCTTCTTTTTCTATTGTATAATGTGAATTCTTTAAATAATCATATTGCTGATATTGATGTACTTGTTAATAACCACTCCCCTCAGCTATGTATACTTACTGAAATTGGAAAAGCTGTAATGAAGAAAATTCCCCATTTTCCTGACTATAATACTATACTTAAAGAAGGAACAAATTCCTTTGGGGGTGTTGCTTTCTTAATATATAGATCGATCAAATATAAAATAGTAACCAGAGAATTGAATTTTCTCTTAGTTGAAATTGAAACAATACTTGAACCAACTAACGTTGGTGCTGTTTATGTACATCTCGGACCAACCTCTCCATTTCAATTTTTTACGAACTGTCGTAATAAACCTTTTTTCATCTTTGGAGGCTTCAATGCTGAACACAGTGATTGGGGATGTGAAGGAAATAAGGTTAGTGGAAATCAAATTGTTTCATGGTTGGAATTAACAGGAAACGAAATGATTATACCTGATAAACCAACGTCGCAGAGATCCAACTCTATAATCGATTTCGGATTAGCGCATGATACCACTGGCTGGCACACTGAAGTGATCGAGGATGGTACATCCGATCACCTTCCTATATTATTACAATTCCCTCTTTGTGTTCCTTTAATATCAGTATTTAAAAAAACCAATTGGAAGATCTTTATATTCTTTCTTAATACTGTGTACGAATATTGGTTGTCTCTTGTATACAACTATAACGAACAATTCTTTTTTATTCAGTTTTCTGAATTTCTAGCAAGTCTTTGGGATAGATGTAGTACTTATGATTTGGCAAGGCGATATCGACCATCATGGCCACCACATCTGGCTGCTCTTGCTCGTGAAGTAAATAGAAGAAGACGTATATATAGACGGAATAAAAATGAAATCAACCTGTACTTATTTCTACAGGTAAAAAGCTCTATTTATTAACGAACGCTCTCAATTAGCTCAACAGAAGTATGAATCCAAACGCGAATGGATATTGAAGGATCAGAATATTTGGAGTTTTGTTCGTCCTACCTTCCACTCGTTTTCTCCCCCATTTCGTGGATTAACTGTTAACTCAGTCATTATGAAAAATCCTAAGGATATAGTTGGTACATTAGCTAATCATTATGAACGACATTTCGCAGAACCTGCACCCGATATGAACAACGTAATACAACAAAAATATATATCTATTTATGATAAAATTGCTCTTCTGCCCAATACTCCATTAGATCCAATACCAATAAATGAAGTAATTAAGGAGTGGAGAAAAATGTCTTCGAAAAATCTACAGATAGTATTGATACCTCAGCTTTCCCATTGAAAAAACTTCCCGAACAATACTTGAACATAATGACCGTATTGTTCAATACGTGCTCGGATAAAGGAGAATTTTGTTTTGGCTGCAAAACATGGCAAATTAGTATGTATCCTTAAAGAACGTATTTATTCGGCCACTAATCAACTAAGACCTATATCATTACTCCCAAATATTGGAAAATGCTTTGAACGAATAGTTCCCAACCGTATATTATCGTGGTGCAAGAATAATAATATATATATTGATGAGCAATCTGGTTTCTCTCCAGGTAGGCGATTACAGACAAGAATAATATCCATTATTGAAGAATTAAGAATGACTGTTGCAGCGAACAATCGACCAGCGCCAGTAATGTTCGTAGACTTTTTATCTGCTTCTGATAGAATGTGGGCACATGCTCTTATTGCTAATTTGTATGAACTGAATATGCCATTACCGCTCTTAAAATGTATATTCAACTGGTTAAAAGATAGATCCTTTTGCATCCACTATGGTGATGAAAAATCTCGTAATGTCCAAATGAAAATAGAAGCGCCCCAAGGCTCTGTTATTGCTGCAACTCTATTCCGACTTCACATTCACTGTCTTCCCTTGTACTTTAAAAATGTTGAACTTCACTTTTTTGCGGAGGATTTCGCTCTTGTTCTATCGGGTTCACTTGAAAAGAAGTTCTCTGAAAATGTTAAAGAACTTGAAGACATCGCAGCTGTAGTCTTAAGACAGCTTGAAAAATTTGTAGAAGACCTAATCCTACCAGTATACATATCTAAAACAAAAGCTCTTCTTGTCCACAGTATTGTATCCCCTTCATACACCCGTCTCTATTATAAATCACAACCCATTGAATATGTTAAAAGATTTAAATATTTAGGAGTGTATATTTCTACAAAATTAAGATGGGATACATACATTAATGAGCGTCTGCGTACCATAAGTAAAATCTATAACGGTATGAAAATAGCATTTAAAACGATTAAGATGCGAGATATCAAAATACGCCGAAGAATTTTTCTTTAATATGCTCTTCTACATTACTTGTGGTTATTTTCCACTTGGTTCTTCTATACTGATATACAGATATACAAAGAGAACGTATTGAACATATGTTCTGTCACGGACTTCGAATTGTATATAATCTACATCAGTGGAATGATATAACAACTCGAATTCTTGCTCGAGATAAATCACTACGTGATTACTTATTTACATATTGGCGTCGATTAGTTTCACATCTGCTTATCTCCCTCGAGGCACTCTCTTTTCAACAGACCTGGAATGCATTTCTTATCATTACTTCCCCTGATAATAGCTGGTTCAAGTCAATGAGATTTCGTAAAAATAGTATCCTTCCAAATAGATTAATTGATCAAGTGAAGCATTGCCTGATGGATTGGGTTGATTTTGACGTAGTTCATGTTAAACAATACGAATGCTTTAAGAAATCAACGAATATGATAAACTCTTTCATATATAAATATTTTCTTTTACCACCTTAGACCTTCTAATATTTAAGATACAATAAATAATCTGAACCTGAGAACGAAATGATATAACCTTAATTATATAGTAACATATTCATTAAACCTTTAAATCAATCTTGTGATACCGACAATGAATGAATAGTGTTATCTAGTCATTGTCCTCAGAATGATACAACTGTTTCACGGATTGTTTTCGTTTACTTTTCTTTTCTCTGTCTTCTGATTATTACGTTGGTTGTTATTGTTTTATAGTTATTAATCTCTCTTTACTCTACTTATTGTTACTACTTTTTGTTATTATATTTTCTGTTATTACTTTTCTTTACCTTATGGTGTTTTTATCTACTCTTACTTTAATTGTACCTCTTACTTTATGTAGTAGTGTAGTGTGTTACACCCATTATTTGGCGTTTTTCACGTTCGTTCGATCTTTCTCTCTCTTTTATATCTCACTTGTGAACCAGTTACTTATGGCACAATAAAAGTAGATATTAAAAAAAAATTACCTATCATTTCAAAATGGACAGTTTTCATAACATCTCTAAGTGTGCACTGAATGAAGCCAATGGAATAGTGGAATAAGCGTTAGAAATTCGCTACACTTCCTTCATCCACTCTTAGTATATATGTCTGCTAGCGATCGCTGTTTCTGTAACGAAAATTAATGCTTGTAAAATCTTCTTCGATTCGATTAAGTCGAAATGCAATCTTATTCGAATTATTATCTTTCCTACTCTTTTTTCTTTCACACATATATAGTTTCATACTTAAGAGAGAGAGAAATCTTTAAGTGAGGTTGTGAATGTGGGTGTGGGTGTGGGTCCTATATTCTCTCATACCCACACCCGTGTGGGTCGGAGTATGACCTAATGCGGCGGGTGTTTCAGTAAGTCGTACTGTGATGAAATACTGTTTACACACCACTGTCACTCAGTGTAATGTGCGCGATATTGAGCGATTCTTGTTTATTCACAGTGGTTTCTGAGTTCAATAGGATTTTTCCGTACACTCTACTTAAGTCGAAAGAAGTAGCATTAAAAGAATCTTGTAAGTGAAGTTACAACCTGTAGGGTAAATGCAGAATAATCAATGATTGTTTTAGTGTATTCCAAAAATGCAGCAAATGACTATGAGCAAGGTCTGAGAGAAGTGCTGGCGAACGACTGGTCACTAAGATTGCAAATATATTCTAATGTTGTTGAACAAAAGATCTATGTGAAACCCACATTTATCAAGAATAATCAACTAAAATTCTTCAAATCAGAAGTCCTAATAATACTCTAACGTAATGACTCAACAATTAGCTTGTAGAAATTAGGAATAAATAATAGAAAAGTATTGGTTCGGAGCAGTTCATCTGAAGCGATCGCGTTATAAATCTAACAGTTTTTCGAAGTAAGAGCAATCTGGCATTTGATAGGGTTTAAGAGAAAAGAATTATCTTGTGGAAGAAGAAGATCAGAGGTAGTAGCAGCTAGCTGCGAGTGGCGCTGATGAGTGACTAGCTCCTGTACTGGAAAGTTACTCTATGAAGGGCGTTAAATTATAAGGATTCAGCGGGAAAATGTGAATGGGTTAGATCTGATGGGTTTCAGTAGGGACTTAAAGTGATAAAAGAG